TTGATTATCCATTTTTAGAAAAACATATTTATACTGGTGGTGATGAAATTGAACAAGAATATGGAAATGAATTTCATGATATTGTTTGGTTACATAATTTGATATTTCCTCCAAAGTATCCAAATATTTCCTTTATTGGATTGATATTAGGATCTGGTGCTATTTTACCATTTAGGTGAGTTTCAGAATTTAATAATATATATATATATATATATACATATATTAATGCAATAATATATTTTTCTTTTCACATTAAACTTCTTTTTCAAAGTGAGATGCAAACACGTTATGTAACAAGTCTTATTAAAGGATTTATCAAACCAATTCCATCTCAAAACGAAATGGAAAAATCTATACGTAAACATTATGAAAGCATTCGTAAAAATTATTGTAAACATGCTCGTAGTGCTATTCGGTTAGCTTATATACCTTATATGGATAGTTTGAGTAAAGAAATTGGATGTTATCCTTATTCTTATGAAATATTTAAAAAATTTGGGTTCAATTTTTGGAAATTGATTATGTTTGGTATGGCTACTCCTATTCAAGTACGTAATTTTTTTTATTACACAGACATTTATTAAAGCATTTTATTTACTAAGTGATAATTATATTATTTTATAGTATCGATTACTAGGGAGGAATTCTTGGGAGGGTGCAAAAGAAGCTATTTCGCTTTATAACAAATATAGTTTTAAAGCTGTTGGCAGAAGATCAAGAGGTTATAAATTAAGGATATATTTCCTTATTATCTTGTTAATATTGTTAAATAGATATGGTGGTTTTAAAAAAATAATTAATTATATAAATTTGAAATTTTTACTGTGAAATAAATAAATGTTTTTACACATAATGAATATATTATATATCATCTCAATTACGATTCTATGAAAGATATTAAACTCGAAATTTCATACTGCATTTAATCAGATAAGTAAATGCTTGCTTCACTTTATCCAGCATAGCCAACAAAAAAAAAAACTTTGGATACGTAAGTGACCATGGCAGTGAAGAGATTTGTTACTCCAGTACTCAGTAATATCGTTATTTCTCTGACCTCTTTAAATTTTCGTAACACTTAGCATTAATGACCAGAATAAGCTGAAGAAGATTATAAATACTACACTAATATCCGTAGTGTGGCAAAATAATCAACTTGTCTTCGAGAAATAATATTGGAAGCTCCTATATAGAGATGTTCTACTTGAATCTTTTAATAAATTTTAGCAACTATTGTAATTTATGATTAATACTTATTACAGCAGTTGATTATCTCATACATTTTACACGAGAATGTAAGAATACAAATTTCGAGCGCTACACTTGAAGTATTTTAGATGGTATAATCTTTTCATTCGTGAGGTTTTAATAATATATTTACATCTTATTATTACTAACTGAGTGATTTATTAACATATTATATTTGGGTAGTTTCAAGAAGAGTGAACCCGGTGATATCTTCGTGATAATCACATTACAGGATTAAACACTCGGTCTAAGTTAGGGTTAGGGTTAGGGTTAGGTGATAGTATTTTTTAGGCCAATTTAGTTAATGCTAGTGAACAAATAAATGATTTCACAATGTGATGATTAGTGCTCCGAATCGGGTCGGGTTCGGGTTAGAAATATCTGACCCGAAAATTTCGGGTCGGGTTCGGGTTGAACGTCAACCCGACCTGCAGTGTTGGCACTGGACATATGTCCAACTATTTTTTATGTTATTGGACTGGACTGGCTTTGGACATAATGCTTGGACATATGTCCAGTCCAATATGTCCAATAATTCTAAAAAATATAAAAAAATTTTTGATAAAAATGTGGCCTAATAAAAAGATTCCCTTGAGTGATTTTACTATATATTTCACTAATTTCTAGCTCTAATATAAATGCTAACCTTAACTTCACGATCTTTTTATAAATTTTATATTCATCATATGACCACGACTTTCTCGGTGTGACACTGTGAAGATTTTTAATTGGCTATTTGTTCACATGATTTATATATTACACAATGTCCAATGTCCAATACCTTTTGGTCCAATGGATTAGACTGGACTGGACATGGACTGGACATTGGACATGTCAATATCCAACCCAACACTGCCGACCCGAACCCGACCCGGCCCGAAAATTATCCAATTTATAGATGCGCGAAATTAGCATTTTATGTTTTTTTTTGGTTCTAATAGCCAAGTGCATATGTATTTTTAAATAATATTTTAAATAAAACAGTCAAGTATGCACCAATCAGATTTCTTCAAACGATCGACACAAAATTGTCACTCGATTTTTGATTGGTTAACGGCCGCAGATCTGCAAATTTTGGCCAACATTACATAATTGTTTACTAATTTCTGGCCGTAATTAACTTTTGATTTTTTTCATTAAAAAAATAGAAAATTTTGGCAACATTATGGTAAAATTGACCCAGGAACAATTTTCACTTAATAGGTTCTGTGGTTACATTAGTAGAATTCCGAGTAATTCCGTCCAAAGTTTTTGTTCATCGCTCTTAGCCAATAGAAATCGAGAATCTGCTGTGAGTACAACGTGAAAATCACAATTTTTAAAACACTGTCGATGCATAACTTGAAATTTCGACTATGAAACCACGTTCTGCGCTCTAATATAAAAAAAATCTAATTTCTAATCTAACTTTAACGTATATTTTTTTACTTTAAAATATTATACGAATTGAAATTAGTTTGATTTCATCGAAGAGATCTGATTGATGCATATTTGTTGACATCTCAAGCCAATGAATTAAAAATCCCTGGTAACAATATTATATACTTTTTTCGACCCTTTAATGAAAATATCTCAGCAATTACTTTATCTAATCGATCAAAGTTTGGAGAAACTTAACTGCTGACTTTGTTTTAATAATCGCCTAAATTCTTTAACTTCGAACAATAATTTCTTGACAGCAAATCAG